CAATAAGAAGATATATATATATATATATATATTAAAATAAGTGAGGCTAACATTAGATTTTCTAATTATATTTTGGTTTGATCTTCTTACATTTTGTTTATTTATTATGATCCCTTTTATATTATTTTATTTTAAGTTGATTTTTTTATACACGTTACTGGTTTTAGTAATGATAAAAAATTGTCAAAGTTGATAAAAACTATCATTATTGATTAAAAAATGAAATAAAAACGAAATAGAGGAACAGAATGTGTTAATCAAGTGAAACCAACTCAAGGGGGTGGATTCAATTCTTAATGAAATTAAAAAGGGAAAACTTCTCCAATCAAAACTTTTCAACACATTTTCAATTCAATTAGATGAATAGAATGTCAATTTATAATGACAAATAATAATGATAGTCTGGAATTCGCAATGATGGATTAATAATAGAGTCACCTGAATTTTGATGGGGAAAGGTCTAATTATATACTATTTTTAATCAATTATATAGTAAAATAATGATTCTTAAAAGTATAAAGAGGGTTAAGTGTTGAGAAAAACGAATATAATGAAATTATTTATACTAGTTCAGGAAATGTGGTTTATATCAATGGGATATGAGGCCTAATATAACAATTTTCAAAAAAGTTGCTTTAGAAAGTTTAAATTAGTGCACCGTGGGTTAGTGCAAAAAAATTGCCAATTAAAACTATGTGAATTATAATTTTTTTAGCGATATTGTTTCAACGTGACAAAGTGTAATATAATTAGTAGATGAGCTTATTTTTTAAATATGTAGATAGGAATTTGATTTCTAATTGAGAAAAATATTTGTTGAGAGAAATGTATTCTTTAAATAAATTTTAGTATATAAAAAAATAAATCCTTAACTTTTGATTAAGAGATATTTTTTATTAAAATAAAAGAAAAAATGTCATCTTTTAATGTGCATTGCTCTATGTGTTTTTTTATGTTCTTTTAGTATAATATATATTTCGTGTTCTCTTTATATTTCGGGAAAAAAAAATCTATTTATATGATAATTGAATGAACAAATTTAAGAAAAATAAGTTAAATGAGTCAAAAGAAGGAAAATAAATTAAAAATCGATTATTTTGATTTAACAACTATAATTTATTTTCACCGGATCATCTTTATAAAAATGAATTGATTTTTAAGATCGTAATTACATATCTGGATTATAGTTCTTAATTAAAAAAAAAAAAAGTTGCAAATCACTTGAGATGATAATTTTTGACGGTGCACTACTTTTTCTATACTCTATTATTTAAAACATTTCTAAATTATTTTTATTATTTAAATATTTTTCAATGATTAAACATATTAAATCAGTCAAATCTAGTGAATTGAGAACTCCCATAATAAGCTAAATCATGTTTCCTAATAATCTTTGCTTGATTAAAATCCATGTTTATATCATCAAAAGAATTTCAATAGAAGAGTGTATGCAGTTCGAAAGTAAGGGATCATTCATATTTTCAATTGTTGCATCGTTCATCCTTACCAAATGAAATACCAAAAATTATGGATTAAAACAAAATAAAAGTTACAGAGGAATAAAAAATTAATTTTAATGTAAAAAAAATTATAGTAAAAATGAATACAATAATAATACTTATTAAAAAGGATAACAATATCAATATTATAATTATGTTAATTAGATACATTAAATAAGTCACTTTGTCAAACACTTTTTTAAAATAACTTAATTCTATGTGTTACTCTTTTTTTTTTTGGTATATAGTATTAAATGATTTTGTCAATAATTAATTATTGTTAAAAAATCTAACTGATTATTTTTAATGAATCTTTTTATCGGAACTAAAATTTTTTCTATCCACTCTTGGATTTGAAACTTTACTTTAAAGTTATAAGCATTGATTATATTTTGATTTATATATAATTTTTTTTCTATATTTAGATATAAATTTAAAATTACTTTTAAATTTATTCAGAATAAAAAATATTTTTTATAGAGAAGTTTTCAAAAATATTTTAAATTTATATTTAAACATGTTCTAACAAATTAATAAACATGACTAATATGACATTTTATTTATTTATTATAAAAGTTAACACATTTCTATTTTTTTAATTAAATGATCATATAATATTATTTTACATTATTAGTATATAATCTATTTATTTTACAATTTAATTCTTATACTTTCATTTCATCATAACTGAAAAAATTAAGAATAGGAAGTAAAACAAGTAATAATTCCTCTATCTATATATATAAAGAAAAAAATGCTTAAATCTTTTGGACTGAAATATAAATAAATTTCAATCAATGAAAATATTATTTATTATAAATATGTTTTAAAATATTTTAAAAAATATAATATATATTTTATATAAAATTATAAAAATCAAATGCTAACTTTTTTAATATATATGAAATTAATTTATTTTTCTTTATATATAAGTAATCGCTGTAAGGATTAAATTATACCTTCCATATGATCAATTTTGTCCCTTAAAGCATGTGATGAAAGAACATGGAAGCATTAATCCCTAACTCCCTCCCAATTAGAAGATACATGGGTTTACCAAAAGAATACAAGAACTAAATAATTAATTAAATTTTCATAAATAAGTTTAATTTTATTTCAACCTGAGGTTAGCACTAAAACTAAAAGAAAGAAAACGACAAAATCAAAATGTGAAATTGTGAATTGAAGATCAACAACAACCTGGGAAAAGAAGAGGGTTGTGGCTTATGCTTATGGCCACCGCCACCACCAGAATGCTAGCGAAGGAGATGTTGCACCTCTCGTTTTCTCCGCTTCGCCTCCGCGCCCTCTCTCCTTCTCTCACCTTCTCACTTCAATTTCCACGGTCGCGCCCTGCAATCCGATGCGCTTCCTCCGACTCCGACGCCGCCAACAAAGTATCATCCCGCCTATCGCAGGTTCAGCAG